GTTTTTTTTTTTAAAATATGAGTTTGAACAACTGCTGAAACACCCAGATTCAGTTTGCTTATAAGCAGTCCTGTGTAAAAATGGGATTAATATCAAAGTACACTCTTAAATGTTTCATAAAAGTCTCAGTATAAGATTAGGGTATAAGACTTTGAAGTTTGTTTTAAATTTGTTGTTGTGGGGAATGTGAAACATGCAAAACTAGAAAAAATAGTTTAATGAACGCCCAGGTACTCATGCCCCTATTTCAACAATTATCATTCTCAATCTCATTTCATTCATCCCTCCACTCAGCATTCCTCAGCCTCCTTCCACCCCTCCCCTTACAAGATTTGGAAATTTTAAACATAAATTTGCCAGAGAAGAAGGCATGGTGACATGGTAGAAAGACCTTTGGATTTGGACATCTGGGTTCAAATCTGGGCTCTGTCACTCCTAATTCTAGATTTAGGACAATTGTGTCACCCTTTTTAGGCCTATTTTCCTCATTTTTGATGTAGGGATAATAATGCCTCTCTCTCAGGGTCAGTAGGAACTTGAGGTGAAAAACAATTTGAGTGCCTACAAAGTGCAGCGTCAGGCGTAGCAAAAGACTAAGACCCATCCCTGTTCTCAAGGAACAGAATTCTAGAACTAGGATATTCCAGTTATTCTAGAATATTCTTGTACAACGTTCGATAATGGCTGCCTAAGATGAAGATTTGGGGAGCAAGCACGGTGATTGATGCGTGATGTGTGCCATGGAATTGGGGCTGAGGAGTGACACTTGTGCAGAGGCACCCTGGGCATATTACAAACACCTGTTACGTAGTAAATGTATTTTTGCTACTGGTAAGGTCGTAGACAACAAACTACTAGAGTTTCATCGTTTGTAAAATGCAGACAAGGTATTTATTTAATCAGAAGTAAGGTAAAGGTTAGACTCATGACAGGTTGTGTTCTTATCACCCTCAGGTGTGCGTTCAGGACCTCATCTCCCCCATCAATGTCTCCCTGAATTTCTCTCTTTGGGAGGAAGAAGGGACACCGAGGGACGAAAGGGCGGTAAGGAGAGATCGACTAGGGGAGTTGATAGGAACAGGAAGAGCAGAAATTCCATTTGGCAAGAAGTGACTATGCTCTGTAGGAGTCTTTGACTGTAAGCGCGGGAAGCGAAATACGGCTCGCTTACGCAGGAAAGGCATACACGGGGGTTTGAATTGAAGGGCAATTTGAAAAACCACGTTTGGGAAGAAGGAGAACGAGAGTGGTGGCTCTTGGGGGCTCTTGAGAGGAGGCCATAAGGGATGAACCTGCTCCGGGTTCCTGCTGTGCATCTGCTCCAACCTCATCAGGCTTCTGACACTGTTCAAGATGCACACTCCAGGCCCAGCACGACCCCTTCTTGGTGGAAGGGCAGGCACCCTGATTCTCTTTCTTACCCATGTGTTCAGCTGGGGGCAGGTCATTCCCTCAAAACCAAATAGAGGTGCTGTTATTATGTAAAAGAAGGGAGGGAACAATACCTACCCTCGTTGACCAGATCGCACACTCCCCTCCCAGTGTCCAAAGCCAGATTTCTTTTTCTGAAATCCCTGAAGCTAAGCTGATGGTTTGGTTTCCGAAGGCAACAGTGTCTGGTAGAAAGAACTTGGGCCTGGCACAAGCATGAGCAGGTTTTCTGGGACTCTCTGAGATTGTTTCCCAGTCTATAAGATGAGTCCCAGCCCCGTGAGGCCTCTGACTCCTGCAGGGGCTGTCAAGTACTCTCTTTCTGGTGGCTTTCGGCAGTGGGCAGTGGGCACACCCCGCCCGCCCAGCCACTGTCCTGAGATAACAGTGGCACTTACCAGAATACAGCCCTGCCCGTCAGATGCTCAGATGCGCTTGAGGAAAGTCCATGGGCACCGGCTTCACTGAGGGACATAAACGTGGTATCTGACCTTAAGGGCACAATTTGCTGTGGGGGAAGTTGGAGAAGTCAGCAGCAACAACACTGTGATGATGCTGTGACAAAGTTAGGGACAGGGCGGCAACCGTCTACGCCAGAGAGTCAGGCTGGGTAGGGAGAGCCCCCCCGCCAAGAAGTGACCTGAAGTCCCCAGGTGGAGAAGCAGGGTGCGCGTTCAGAAAGAAGGCATAATGCGAACACAGACGAAGGATGCCAGAGATGGTGGGTGATGGGAGGAGAGAGAGAGAAAATGAATGAATAAGCCCAGAGAGGCTGGCTGCTCTTTTTTTTTTTCTTTTAAACATCAGGCGGCACCAGGGGGGCATGGGTTGCCCTTGAGCAGCCCTTTCAGATGTACCAAGGGGTTTGGTCCTTCCCCTGAGGGCACTGAGGAGCCATGAAAACGATTTTTATGCAGGGGAAGGAAATATTACATATGATGGCCTTTTTTGATTGCAAGTGTCCATAACCCAACTCAAACCTGGATTAAGCGAAAAAGGAATCAGTTCACTCTGAAGAGACCAAGGGAGGATCCTGGCTTCACTCATATCTTCATCCAGGAACCCAAACAAGGCCATCAGGAACGGGCCTCTCTTCATAACCTAGCTTGTTATCCTTTTGTTGGTATCATCGTCCATTATCCTCACCACTGGGCAAGCCTCCTTCTTCTTCTTGTGACCTGGGCCATATTCACACCCCTAAACCACCCCTGACCCAGGCCTGGGTCAGATGCCCACCGCTACCCTTGGAGTGGTGCCAGGCAAGCAGGGGAGCCGGGAGACAGGGGAGTAGACGGCTCTACTGTCGCATATATATCTTACGAAGCTCACTCCAGCAGCGACATGGAAGCCGGATTACAAGGATGTGAGCCTGGAGGCCGGAGGCTGTTGTAATGGTCCTGTTGAGGGGTGGTAAGGCCTGAACCAAGGCAGTTTCTGTGGGAGTGGAGAGGAGGGTGTACATTAAAGAGAGATGGAAGAGGCAGATTTATCAAATGCAGAGGTGTGGGGACAGGCAGAAGATGACGCCCATTTCTGACTTGGCTCTGGGTACATGGTGGAGCCGCTCCCCACACAGGGATCACTGGAGGGGACACAGGGGGGCTGGTGAGTTCAGCTTTGAACTTGCTGCTTTTGGGGCCTGTGAGTCATTCTAGGCAAGGGCAAAGTACCAGTTAGATGAACTCAGTTGCAAACAACAGAGATTTAAATTAAAAGTAGCTTAAAAACAAGAAAAGTCTTTCTTCCTCCTGTAAAAGGCAGGTTGAAGTTGCAGAGGCAGTTCTAAGCCTCTAAATCAGGGGTTGGCAAACTTTATCTGGAAAGGGTCAGACAGTAAATATTTTTGGCTTTGCAGGCCATATGGCTTCTGTTGCAACTACTCAACTCTGCTATCGTAGCATCCAAGCAGCCACAGCCCGTGGATAAAGACATGGGTGTGTCTGTGTTCCAATAGCACTTTATTCACAGAATAGGTGGGAGCTGGATTTGACCTTCTGGCCACAGCTTGCTTGCCCCTGCTCTGATCTTGCTGCTTCTCCATCCTTTGTACACCTTCTTGTGGCCACAACTGTCTGCTCAAGCTCTACCCATCATGTCTGCACCTGGCCAAGGGCAGTGGGAGAAGAGCACACATCCTCTCCTTGAGAATATCCTCCCTCTGCAAAGCCACATAGCACTTTCATTTATATCTCTTGGTCAGAACTCAGCCCCGTGGTGACATCTAGCTATAAAAGAAACTGAGAAAAGTAGTCTTCTACCCACATGGGCTTGCTTCCAGATAAACAGTGGAGGCTCTATCTTAAAAGCAGAAGGCGAGAAAGGATATGTCTCTGCTATGGGCACTAATTAAATGCCAAACTGTGTGGTGTGGGGAAAAGAGACCTGAGGTCACTGTTGTCAAAAAAAGACTTCCCGAGGGAGGTGTCACTGGTTCTGGAGCTTGCAAAATGAGTAGACTTTGGGTAGGTGGAGCGAGGAGGAAAGGCACAGCGGTAAATCAAGGGAAATGGGGAGCTGGCTTAGCTGCTGGCAGGAAGCTGGCTTAGCAGGGTGGAGGCCCTGGACACCATCTGGGCCTGGCTGTGGTCCGAAGGATGGTAGGAATCTGTGTATGAATGGTGAGGGTAGGTGACAAGCAGTCAGCGGAGGCCACCAGGACCTCAGCCCCTGAAGGAAGAATTTAGAGGCTGCTTGTCAGGTGATCTGGAAGCAGAGGAGGCCGGAATATTTCTAGAACATACAGCTGATAACCCATAAAGTCCTTCCAGGGCCCCATTACCCTTAGGATTAAGTCCCTGCCCCCTAAAATGGCCTGTGGCATCCCTGCCCCCTAAAAAGGCTCAGTGGCATCTGGACTCTGCTTTTATCTCTGCCCGTGCTCACGCACAGTGCTCCAGCCAGCACGAGCATCTTTGCTCCTTGTGCAATACACAATCTCTCTCTGGGCTCTGGGCCTTTGTACAGAATATTCTTTTTTCCTCCCTCTCCATTCAAATCATCTAGCTCCCTCTTCCTCTTCCTTGAGATTTCAGTTGTGATGCCATACTTCAGGAAACTTCCTTGATCCCCAAGTCTGGGATAAGAATCCTTTCTACATGCTCTGAAGATACCCTGTACTTGTCCCGTCATGACATTTGACCCACTGTTGAAAATGCTGAGTCACCTCTCCCACTGGAATGGGAGGCAGGCAGTTCGTGTGTTTTGTTCTCTCGTGTATACCTAGTGCCCAGCATGGGGCCTGGCCCAGAGTAGAAGGGCAGGAAATGTTGAAAAAGTTGGCACACCTGTAATCCCAGTGCTTTGGGAGGCCAAAGCCAGAGGATTGCTTGCGGCCAGGAGTTTGAGACCAGTCTGGGCAACATAGCAAGATCCTCATCTCTACCAAAAATGAAAAAAAATTAGCCAGGCATGGTGGTGTGGGCCTGTAGTCCCAGCTACTCAGGAGGCTGAGACAGGAGAATGGCTTGAGCCCAGGAGTTGGAGGTTGCAGTGAGCTATGATGACATCACTGCACTCCAGTCTGGGTGACAGACCAAGACCATCTTTTAAAAAAAAAATTGGCCTCAATCTGATAAAAGACAGAGAGCTGTTCTAGGAGGAGCTGGGGTTCACAGAGGAGAACCACAGTGAAAGAGCTATTCGTAGGCAGGTGGGTCACAGGCTGTACATGCAGGAAGTCCTGCCCAGGCAGGAATTGTGGGGGCTGCATTGTCACGGCCCTGGTCTACTGTCCGGGAGAAGGAATGGGGCACCCTGAGCCTCAGCTTTCCATCAAGGGGATGCCTGCAGAGCAGGGCTGCACAGGTGGCCAGGGCTGAGGCAGGGAGTGGGGCAGCCCTGGGAAGGAAGCTGGCACCTGGGAGGGGCAGACCACAGCCTGCCCTGGTGAGCCCCGAGTCCCTGCCCCTGCAGCCCTCCCTCATGAGTTCTGCTGCCTCAACTGATCTCTCCTCCCTCCAACTCCTCTGTGCTCAGCAGGCCAAGGACATACAGCCCATCCTGAGACCCTCACCACACTCAGAGACCAGGGAGGTAAGAGGGGAGGAGGGGCCGACAGAGTGGCCTGGGGTCAGTCCCCTCTGGATTTGGGGCCTGAGCCTGCTGGTCCTTTCTTCTTGGCGTTTCAGATCCCTTTTGAGAAGAACTGTGGGGAGGACAAGAAGTGTGAGGCCAACCTGCAGCTGTCCTTCTCCCCTGCGAGGTCCGTGAAGCATCCACCCCTGGCCTCCTGTCCACTCTGTGTGGTCCTGTGGCAGCCCCCGCGTGCTGGAAAGAACGCTGGTTGTGGAATCACTATCCCCCCTCCACTCACCAGATGTGCCATCTGGGGACACCACTTCCCTCTCTGGGCCTTAGTTTCCTTTTCTGAGAAATGCAAGAACTTTGTGGAACTCCCCTCCGCATTTGATGAGATTGCAAAGCTTAAAGCCTGAGCATAGGAGCTTATTTTTTATATTTATTTTTTTCTGGTCTATTGTATGCCTCAGCTTCGCAATTCCTCCCCCTGGTCCTGCTTCCTTCATCTCGACTCCATAACTTCCCCCCGATCTCCCCGCAGATCCAGAGCCCTGCGTCTGACCCCCTCTGCCAGCCTCTCTGTGGAGCTGGCGCTGAGCAACTTGGCAGAAGATGCTTACTGGGTGCAGCTAAGCATGACCTTCCCCCGGGGACTCTCCTTCCGCAAAGTGGAGGTGCTCAAGGTGAGCTGGAAGGCAGGGCGCCTGCAGGCTGCGTGTCCACAGCCCCGGCCCGAACACGTGGCAGCAGCAGGCAGGCAGAGGTCTTAGGGTCACATCTGAGTTCTCAGCCGGATGGTCATCCTTGAGCTGTATGATCTGAGGTATAAGGTTCACCCTCTGTGAGCCTCAGATTCCACAATCAAAAAGCCAGGCTGGGGACACCCATGAGCTCAGTGCAAGGGTCACGTGAGATGGAGTGTGTGTAAGAGGGCCCTGCACCGTGCCCAGGTGCGCTTGGTGATGCCCAGGTGCAGGGGTGAGTGAGGTGGGTCACCTCCCTCATGAGGTGACCAGAGTGTTTCTGAGGCATGGTCTGGATTATTTTAAATATAGCTTTTGTTTTTAAATTACTATTACAAAAGTAATACACGATCACCACAGAATCTTGGAAATCACAGAGAATTTTAAAGAAGACAATCACCCATATACTTCCTCAACTTCCCCCATATGATGCTTCTTTTTTTTAAAGCCCTGACCACATCAAAGCAATTACTACTTTGAACCTTTTGGTGTTTACCCTTCTTAATTTCCTGTATTTAGTTATAGAGATTTATATTATCTGTTTATCTATACACATGCACACACATTAAATTGTGTATTTATTCTACATTTGTTTTAAATAACTGGTATTTTGCTCTCCATGTGGTTGTTCTTCCTCAAAAAAATTTTTTATTGCAGTAAAATGTATGTAATATAAATTTTACCGTTTTCAACATTCTTAAGCTTACATTCAGTGGCACTGAATACATTCACGATGTCATCAGCCATCACCACTATCTCTTGGCAGAGCTGCCGCCCGCTCTGACAGCAGCTCTGTACCCGGCAGTTCCTCCCCGCTCCCAGCCCGCTCCGCCCCGTGCCCTCTGAGCTACTTTCTGTGTCCCTATGAACTTGCCTGTTCTAGATATTTCATACAGTATTTGTTATTTGTGTCCGGCTTCTTTCTCTTAGTGTGATGTTTTTGACGTTCATCCACGTGGTAGTGTGTGTGAATTTCCTTTCTTTTTAAGGTTGAATAATATTTATCTGTGTGTATATATATATATATATACACACACACATTTCATTTACCCATTCATCTGTCTGTGCACACTTGAATTATTCTTATACAGAAACATTCAATGTTTACTTAAGGGGCGTCTAATAGAGTGAGTAAGAACTTGAGATCTGGTGTCACACAGTCCTGTGTTCAGGTTCTTACTGGATCCCTGCGTTACCCATTCGGGAGACCGTGGGGATGTCACTTAACCTCCCTGAACCTCTATTTCCTTATCTGTGTCCCTCCCACTCTGTGGCTGAAATCTGTCCCTCACAAGACCTTGACGAAGACAAATGGTTTCATAATGCTCAGCCTGGGATCAAGTTTATTTTTAAAATGGTTGCTGAAGGTGTAGATAGAGCAGCACATTTTAAAGACTTCACAATATTGTCTCCTTTGATTGTACCATAATTTACTGGACCATTCCTATCTCTTTGAACTGTTTGATCACTTCCAGTTTTTTACTATTATAAATAGTGTTACAGTGACCGTCTTTATACTAAACCTCTGTCTGCATTCCTGATTCTTTCGCCCTGTGTCTCTGAGAACAAGCCGTGGCAGGGACAGAACCCTGGAGGAGGTGGGGGAACGCTTGGCCTTGCCCACCAGTGAGCCCGTTCTCTCTCCTCCCACTCCCAGCCCCACAGCCAGATGCCTGTCAGCTGCGAGGAGCTTCCTGAGGAGTCCAAGATTCTGCCCAAGACCCTCTCTTGCAATGTGAGCTCCCCCATCTTTAAAGCAGGCACCTCGGTGAGTGTGTAGGGTTCCTTGGAACCAAGCAGCCAAGGAACTATGAGCCGCAGAGGGGAGGGAGCTCTTGGCTCTGGGGAAGGGAGCAGGTGATTGTTGCGGGAGAGCTTACGCCACCACCTACCCCAAGGGGAATGGATGTGGAGATGTTTTGTGTCATGTTTGAGAGCCTGGACTTTGGAATCAAACAAACCTGGAATTGAGTTATTCATTTGTGTCCTTATAGACATGACTTAACCATTTGGAGCCTCGGTTTCCTCATCTGTACAATGGGGATACACATCTAGCCCAGTGCTTGCGGTGTAGCGAGCACTTGACAAGAGCCCCTGAGATTATGAGGACCAGGTGCAGGGGCCGGGAGGTGCTAAGGCTGCCCCTGAGCCCTTCGTTTTCATTCCCCTCCTTCCCTGCCAGGTCGTTGTCCAGGTGATGTTTAGTACGCTGCTGAACAGCTCCTGGGAGGACTTTGTCGAGCTGAACGCCAATGTGAAGTGGTGAGCAGGCCCCAGGCAGGCCCGCCAGCATCCCTGCCCTGTCGCAGCCCACCATGCAGACCTCGCCTAGTCTGTCTCCTGACACTGCCCTCTACCTTGCCCCAATGCAGTGACAATGAAGACTCAGGCCTCCTGAAGGACAACTCGGCCACTACCAGCAACCCAGTCCTGTACCCTGTCAACGTCCTCATCGAGGAGTGAGTCCTTCCCAGCCAACCCTCTGCTCCCTCCTCTGCCTCCCGACCCAGGGCCCCTCCTTGTCCCCCAGAGCTCTCCTTCTGAGCCTCCTTCCTTTCCTGGAGCCCCCCATGGGTAATTAGAACTGATTCCAGCCACAACCCCAGCAGTTTTCAACACTCCAAAGAGTTAGGGCCCTTTAAGAGCTCTGAGTCAGATTGGAAGCTGACCTGCTGTCAGACTCTGGGCCAGCTGCACTGCTCCGTTGCTGGCTTTCCCTGGAGCCTTCGACACCTCTGAGGCAGCTGTGCCTCTCTCCATTTAATTCATGAACAAACTGAGGCTCAGAGAAGGCAGATACTTGCCCAAGGTCATGTAGCTGGAATTGCTGAAGCCAGGGTCCGAACCTAAGCCTGTCTGACTCCAAAGCCCCAGCCAAGCTCCTGACTATTTCTCTCATGCTAAATTCCCTGCCTTCCTGGGGCCAGCAGTGCTAGAAGAGGTAGCAGAGAAGTAGTCACAACGGCCCTTGCCCTCAGGGAGCTTACGGTCAAGTTGGAAAGGCCAAATTCAGTGAATCTCAGAATGTTGTGGCAGGAAGGACCCATGGGGATTGCTAGTTGGGTTATCTTGTTTATAGGGGAAAAAACTAGACAAGTGGAGTGGCTTTTTCCAATTGGCTCAGTGAGATAAGGACAGGGACAGCGTCTGAGCCCAGGTCTCCAGTGCTTTTGAACATAAATGCCAAAAGGAATGATATCGGTATGGAATTAGCCAGGAAAGATCAGTGTGGGCTGGGGGAGAGACAGAAGTGTTCATGGGGAAGGTGGGGCTTGGACTGGGGCTGGAGGGTGCGGACGTGAGGATAAGGGCCAGGAAGGAGGCAGGGCATTCTCATCGGCGAGCTCACTTGGACTTGGCATGGATGAAAGCAGGGAGGCAGGAAGCAGAGGGAAGATCTGGGGAGCAGGGAGAGGGAAGGCTTAGCCAAGGGCAGGTGTGTGCAGGGGAGCAGTGGGGAAGCAGCCTGGACATGGGAGGATATGGACCTGACCCTCGTGGGCAGCAGGGAGCCATTGAGGGATTCTGAGCAGGTGAGTGGTAAGATCAGAGAGATGTTAGGAAGAGCAGGCAGCAGTGTGTGTTAGAGGATGGGTGGGAGAGGGAGTCAGAGGCTGATGTGGTTATCTAGGACACAGCCCCCAAGGCACATCGCCCTGGGCTCCAGTCCTGTCCCTCCTCCACTGTGGGGCTTTGGGCAAGAGGCTGACGCCTTCCAGGAGCCGTAGTTTCCCAGGGGAAACAGCAGGTCGTTGTGAGGACTGAATGAGATCATGCCTGTGCGGTCCCTTGCACAGTGGCTGGCAGCTCAGAGGCTCCCTGGAGTTGGGGATGCTTCTCTTCGGCCTCCCATCCCTGCTCTTCTCTCTCCACAGCCACAAAAACTCCACACTCTATATCAGTTTCACCCGCAAAGGTCCCAAGATCCAGCAAGTCAAGCACATCTACCAGGTATGAACCCCAACGTGAAAGGTCCTTCTCGGTCACACATTCATTCAGCCCTGTCCTGAGGACTGAGGATGCAGGCGCCAAATAGACATGGTCCCCATCGTCAACAGGGCCAGCCCTCCACCTTGTTCTGTAAGCCTTTCTCCGTGGCTTCATGCCTGTACTTAAAGGCTTCCGGCAGCAGGGAGTTAGTTACTAACTCCTTTCCACCACTGAATGTATGATTTCTAGAATCACAGAACTTGAGAACAAGAAGGACTCTGAGAGAGAACCTACTTTTTTTATTCAAACATTTAATGAGCTCCTGTTCTAGGTTAGGTACTTTGCTAGGAGCTGGGTCAGCAGTAAATAAGACGGGGACCCTGCCCACTCACCCAAGTTCTGTGCCCAGTGCGTGCTTTCTACATGCAACCCCCTGTCTTCTCGCGCCACCCTGTGAGATCTGTAAGATTGGCATTGTCATTCCCGTTGGATAGATGAGAAATCTGCAGCACAGACAGGCCAGTAACCTGCCCAGGTTACACAGCTAATAAGGGGAAGAGGTCAGATTCAAGCATGTACTTAAACATCAAAATCCATGAGTTTAACCTCTGCGTTAGCAATCTGCCATTTCTCACGCAATGTGGTCAATGCCGTAATAGTGACCTTCATTCCAGGGGCTTAGAGGAGAAGGGCTGCCCCTTGGGCTGAGGTTTCCATATTGGGAGCCTCTGAGGGAGGAGTGGGCATGGACCCAGTTAAGAGCATTTTCATGTCACTTTGGAAGAAGACTATAGCACAGTACCGTATAGTATAGTATAGTTAGTGTAGTACCGTATAGTATGGTATAGCTTAGCACAGCATAGCATAACCAGGAGTACAATTGCTCCCTCAAAACTTTGGTTTCAACATATTCTAAACCAAATTTGTCATTTTCCCTAAGCCAGCGTCTCCTCTGCTTGCTTGGAATCCTTTAAAGGGCACCATCTTTTCCTTAAGCAAAACTTGCAAGTTGGGGTGAATTTCTCCTTCCTCCTGTCCAGTCCTGCTGCCTCCCCACGTCCTGTTGTGCTCATCCCCTTCTCTCTTTGGCCCCTGCTACTACTCAGACCCAGCTTCTTGCCATCTTGCAACTAGACTGTTGAGACAGACTCCCGCTTGGGCCGTGATCCACCTTTCCATCTTCTTTCCATTCCACACCTGCAGTGGACAGACCTCCCTGGAGCCACTGCCTCCCTCAGTTGCCTTCCATGACTCCCCATTGCCTGGCCGAGGGGGCCCTGACTCCTCCGGCTTTCTGGGCTCCAATCCTGAGCTTCCTTTCCAGCCTTGTCTCCCACGGCTCCTTCCCAGTACCCACCCTCCAGCTGCATCCCACTCACCTGGCACTGCCCTACTCCCTGCCTCTTCTCTTTCCAGGTGCCCCTTCCCGCCTTCACCTGCTAAGATCTGTCCATCTTTCACAGTTAAATTCAAATGCTGCCTTTGACATTAGGCCTTTTCAATTTAACAGATATTTTAAGTGTCCACAAATGTTTGTTGAATGAATGAGCAATAGAACCCCTCAAATCAGATATACATTTCCCTGCTTGACCTCCTTGAGACATTATTGGTGCCACTCTTGTGTCACTTTCTTATACATTGCTAGGTCTCCCAGCCCTAGCACAGATAGTTCTTTTTATATAAAATGCACTCAGAAAATGTTTCTTAACTCAATGTAGTTGCCAAAATGAGTCATTCCCAACCTGCCTTGTGCAAATAATTTTTGCATCTCTTCTTGTTAAATGTCATTCACTCATTCAAAAAACTACTTTTTCGGAGGCTTATCATGTGCTAAGTACTGTGTCAAGCAATAGGGAGTTGGAGGTGAAATAAGACACAGCTCCTGTCCTCAGAAGCTCGTGGTCTAGCAGAGATACAGACACACGGGCAGACACTGTGCTGTCCTGCTGGGTACGTTCAGAGTGCGTGGGAATACGGGAGGACAGGGAGCTGCCTTATCCTTGGGGGGTCAGCCAGACCTTCAGAGATGATGTTGGAGCAGGATCTTGCAGGCTGTGTGAGGGTGTGCCCTGCAGAAAGCAGGGAAGAGCGTTCTGAGCAGAGGGAAGAGCGTGGACCCACGCTGTAAGGCCTGGAGGACTTGACCGACTGGCTGTGGTCACTCATTACACACTGCCTAACGAATAGCGGGCCCTCGGGACTCAGCCGATGAGGACTGGAAGAGGCGTGTGAGGGCACGCGGGGTCTGGGGCGGCAGTTGGGGTGGCTGGCATTCAGGGCTCTGCAGTCCCTTGTTCTCTGTGCCAGGTGAGGATCCAGCCTTCCATCTACGACCACAACATGCCCGCCCTGGAGGCCGTGGTTGGGGTGCCACAGCCTCCCAGCAAGGGGCCCGTCACGCACACGTGGAGCGTGCAGATGGTGAGTGCTGCCCAGGGGATGGGGCTGCTCTGGCCTGTGGGGTGAGCACGTGCAGGGGTGCAGAGGGCAGGGCCAAGTGCGTGGAAAGCGGGTGAGGATGTTGGGCTCAGTGATGTCTGAACTCACCCAGGGCCAGCGCAGCTGGGGGGAGAACTGGGATGCCAGGCTCTTGCCTGGGCTGGGGGGAAGGTTTGACTAGCTGAGGACCCCACCCCCCGTTCCTAGGAGCCCCCTGTCCACTGCCATCATGAGGACCTGAAGAGGCTGCCTGGTTCAGCTGAGGTATGGGGACATGAGCTGAGAGACGGCTGGGGCGGGCAGCGTGCAGGGGCGCACAGGCCTCCCTGAGCCCCGGCTTCCTTACCCCCGCCAGCCTTGTCTCTCTGGAGCCAAGTTCCGCTGCCCAGTTGTCTTCAAGCAAGAGATCGTCATCCAAGTGATCGGGACCGTGGAGCTGGTGGGGGAGATTGAGGTAGCCCCTGCTTATGACAGACGTGGTGTGGCCGTGGGGCCAGGTTTCTGGGGGTAGTGGTGGGTGGGCTCCCCACCAGACAGTCTTCTTCCATTTTTTTTTCCTATCTTGATGAAAAATCCCTTGTGTTTTACACAGCTACAGATCAAAGGGAACCATGATTGTTTGAAATTTGCAATGCTGTTTTCACGGGCCTACGGGTAGTTCTGACATATTCTTTATAGGAAAACTTTCCTTCTAACTACGAGTGACATGTTAGAATGCCACAGCAGAGAGCTGAGTAGAGGTGGTGTGCCCTGCTGGGGACCATGCGCCTCTGCCCTTCCCATCGTGTCGAGGTCCCTGGCCCTGATGTCTGTCCCCAACCTCCGTCCCCCCCACAGGCCTCCTCCATGCTCAGCCTCTGCAGCTCCCTCTCCATCTCCTTCAACAGCAGCAAGCACTTCCACCTCTATGGCAGCAACGCCTCCCTGGCCCAGGTATCTCTCCCCACTCAGGACCCCCAGGAGCAGGCAGCAGAGGGAGCCGAGGAGCCTGGGGCAGAGCTAGAGGCGGGAGAGCCTCCTAGGAGAAGGTCTGGGCTCCACCAGTCAGAACTTCCCCAAAGAGCCAGCCTTGGAGAAGCTCCCACCACCGCTGGTGGGCAAGCGACTGACTACAGGGTCACCTGAGATGTGGTCATCTTGTGTGTCGGGTAAAGATCAAGGTGATGGCAGCTTAGTCAAGGGCTACCCACCCACACCAGTCTGAGAGTGAAGAAAGAGAGAGGCTGTAAGCGGAGAGCAGCGGGTGCAGGGCCCCCCACAGCGGAGTGGGCAGGGCAATGTCAAAGAGCGGGAAGTTCAGTCCGATGGGCAGGCAGTGCGTGAGAAGGGAAGATGAATGTATAAGGCAAGCAGAAGCCAGATTCTGGAAGGCTTTGAATGCTGAGCTGAGATTCTGGCATTTTATCCTGGGATTCATGGGAAGCCACTTTAAGGCATAAGACAGACCATGGTGCACATTGGCAAGTCACTCAGTGACTGCAGCAGGTAACACACTGGAGCAAGAGGAGCTGGAGCCAGAGCCTGGTGCTGTGGCACAGTCCAGATGGACACGATGTGATGGGGGATGGGATGGGTCACAAGGACTTCAGGGCTGGGAAAAGCTTCTTCCCTGCACTCCCCTCCCCCTCCTCCCCCAGGTCACCATGAAGGTTGACATCATGTATGAGAAGGACATGCTCTATCTCTACGTGCTGAGCGGCGTTGGGGGGCTGCTGTTGCTGCTGCTGATTTTCATAGTGCTGTACAAGGTGGGAGCACCTGGGAGTAGCGGGCATGGCTCGGACCGCCGGGCAGGTGACGGGCAACTGCGGGAGCCAGGGAAGGGCACAACAAGACCAGGGAGTGTCAAAGCTGGGGGGTGCCTCACCTACTCCCTCCTGCTACAGAGAAGGCTGCCGACGCCCACAGAGCAAGCAAGACTCCCCCCATGACGCAGCCCAGCACCCGCAGAGGCAGGACTAGAATCACAGGAGGGGAGAGAGAGGGAAGTGGCCACATATCAAGGGCCTCCTGGGTGCCAAGCATGGCACCAGGCACTGGGAGACAGAGGCAAATGCCGCAAACGTGGTTCCTGCCTTTGTGGAGCTCACAGTCTGATGGGGGAGACAGACAGGGACCAGCACGATGAGAACTACAGCCGGGGCCTTGTGCGCTGGAGCCCGGAACAGAGGGGCTGCAGGGGCCCGGGAAGGCCTCCCAAGAGAGGTGGTATTTGAGTTGGGATTTGAAGGACAAGTGGAAATTACAGATGAAGAGTATCAGAAGGCAGATATTCCATGTATAAAAAACCTCAAATATTACCAAAAAGAGAGCACAGACTGGGTGCAGTGGCTCATACCTGTAATCCCAACACTTTGGGAGGAAAAAAGAGAGAGAGAACATAGAAAATCCAAGTTTCTCCCTATTGCACCCCCAGAGGGTTGTCCTTAACAACCATTTTGTTTATATTTCTCCAGGTTCTAATTTCGTTGTTAATGTATGCGTATACATGTGAGCATGAGAGAGAGAAAAAGAGAAAGTCAGTTTATGTGTGTCTATGTAGAAAACATAAATGGGATAATACTATCTATGTACTGCTCAGGCACTTGTATTTTCCACTTGATGCTATACAATTTTCTTTTATCTTTTTTTTTTTTTTTTTTTTTTGAGACAGGGTCTCACTCTCTTGCCAGAGTGCAGTGGGGTCATCATAGCAGCTTCACACCCTGGGCTCGAGCCAACCTCTCACCTCAGCCTCAGGAGTCACTGGGACTACAGGCACATGCCACCATGCCTGGCTAATTTTTCTATTTTTTGTAGAGAGGGGCGTCTCACTGTTGCTCAGGCTGGTCTTGAACACCTGGGCTCACGTGATTGTCCTGCCTCGGCCTCCCAATATGCTGGGATTACAGGCGTGAGCTACCGTCCCCAGCCTATTAATACTATACCTTGATATCCTTTGTGTACGCACAATCAGCTCTACCTCTTGCTTTTTAATTTCACTAGTTTTCTGCTGTCTGGGTGCCCCATCTTTTATTTAACAAGTTTCCTATTGCTGAACATTTAGATCATTTCTAATTTACATCCATGTCAAACAATTTGACAAAAAAATGGCTCTTGTTACCCAAATCTCTGCACACTTGTCCACATATTCTTTGGAATTATCCTAGAAGTGGAATTGCTGGGCAAAAGAATATATATACACACACACAGATACATAGATATATATATTTTTTTAGACAATATCTCACTCTCTCACCCGGGCTAGAGTGCCATGGCATCAGCCTAGCTCACAGCAACCTCAAACTCCTGGGCTCAAGCGATTCTCCTGCCTCAGCCTCCTGAGTAGCTGGGACTACAGGTGCACCACCACGCCTGGCTAATTTTTTCTATTTTTAATAGAGATGGCATCTCGCTCTTGCTCGGGCTGGTCTCGAACTCCTGATCTCAAGTGATCCTCCCACCTTGGCCTCCCAAAGTGCTAGGATTACAGGTGTGAGCCACCATGCCCAGCCCGAATATGTATGTTTCGAGCTTCCAACAGAGAGGGTATAGCATATAACATGCACTATATAAGCACTGGCTTTTACTATTAGTATTATTAAATAGTGTCTAATCATCTGCCTGAAAGATTGGTACATGACATTTTGATGAGCCCAGAGAATGAACTATTAAAGCTTTTGAAAATATTGCCAAGAACCAAGCGCAACAGATGCCCTTACCCCATGGCCTGAGCAGACACCATGTGACCGTGGCACTTTTGGCTTATTAACATAAAAAGTGTTCTCACATTTTCCTGGGGCTGACCAGTCCAAAGTGTCCCATGGACATTTTGCTTGTGTAATTTTTGTTTTCATATAGGTTGGCTTCTTCAAGCGGAACCTGAAGGAAAAGATGGAAGCTGACATAGGCGTCCCAAATGGAATCCCTGGAGAAGATACTGGGAAGCTGGCATCCAGGGAAGAGACTGTGGATCCGGGCTGCCTGGAGCCCCTGCATGGGGAGGAGGCCCAGGATGGAGGTGGCAAGGATGGCAAGGACTGAGGCCCAGGGCTGGACTCAGGACGCCTGGGGCCTGTCTGCCTCAACCTGCATTTCACTGTGTCCGAGGGCAAGTCACTGCGTGCCCCTCCCTAGGCCTCAATTTCCCTATCTTGAACATGGAGCTCATTCCTGCCTGCCCCCTTTGCAGGCTCAAGTGGAATCTGCTGAGGGATGGGCCAGGAAGGCTACAGAGGTGAGGCCGTGTAATTATCAAATGGTCCCGGTCCCACCAGCCTCTCTTAGTTCCCTCCCCTGGAAGAGAACGTCTGATCTAATTTTGGAGAAACCATAATCTCTGGACCTAGTGACACTCCCAGCCCTCACACCTGCCCTTAAATGTTCACAGATGCCTCAGACTCCCGGAACCTGTCCCTGCATTCTCTCCTGCCGGGGGTGCAATCAGAATGCCATTCTGCTGCCAGAGAGCAAATGTGATCGGTGTCACTACACGACTGCTACCAACGCCTTGCTCTCTGGCCAAAGACCAAATTCCTTAATAGGCTTTCCAAGGCCCTGCAAAACTAGGCCCCGTGACCTTCCCAGCCTCTTCTAGAGACATCCCACCTCCCTCTCTCAGCTCCAGTGACACCAGCCTTTCTCTGGAACCTTCCTCCGGCTCTCCTAGCTCACCCTCACTCAGCCCAGCTCACGTGTCATTTCCTCAGGGCAGCCCCTGACCCCGACTCAGCCGGGCTCCCACACTGTTCACACGTACACCAGCCTGCACCTGTCCTTCACGACACAGGTCACGTTTGCTCTGTTTAATGATTTACGCACTTGATATCTGTCCATCTGACAGCGAACTCCTTGAGGGTAGGGATCATACCTCCTTGTTCACCGTGGGATCCCTGGTGATATCAAAGGGCAGGGCACATAGTCGGTGCTTGACACAATCTCGTTGAATTAATGATGGAGCCTGTGGAAGACAGAAAAGGTTTAGATGGCCCCATGGCGTCCCCATCCTTCAGGGCTCAGTCCTCTCAGACTCCACCCCACCCTGGCTCCACAGCCTCCCACAGGACTTGTCACACCTGTGCAGGGGCCCCCACTGGAGACTGTGACTCAAAGTGGGGACCATGTCTGTTCCCCTGGAGCCCCAGCGCCAAGCACGGTACCTGCACACATTTAACCAATGAATGAGAAACTCTGTCCAGTTTTGTGATGCGTTTGCGCTGGCGCAACATTCCAGCCTGGTTCAATTTTATGAGCGTTTCCCTCTCAGCCTTTTCAGTAAATGGCACCAGAACAGTCAGCTCTTCTTCCTTTGTTTCCTTTTCTTTTCTGCGGGGATGACGGCCCTCACATACTGACCCATGTGTGACATCGTGAGTTCATTCAAAAGAGAAGCAAGGAGAGGCACAGAACATGGAAGAGGTTAGGGGACATTTCACAATTCATTATCCTGGTTGTACAGACCCTCCGAACCATGTTTTTAAAACAATGATTGAAGGGGGAAGGCCCTCAGCCCCCCTTTAGAAGGACAGAGGGGCCCAGTCACTGCTGCCCTCTTGTGGTCAGTAGGACTCCCCGGGAACATTGAGTGACTCTAAGGCCACCTTCCAGTCCAGCAATGGCAGAGGAGAGAAGGCCGGAGGTGAGAAGCAACATTCTGGTGCCCCCAGCCGTGATCCTTGATGGCCCCCTTCTGCCTCCAGGAGAGACAGGAACATTCCTAAGTGTAGCATGCAAGCCCCAAAGCCCAGCCTCTCCAGCCTCACCGGCCTTCTCCAGGGTCAGCACCCAGGGAACCGTGTGGCTGGTGCACAAGTGAGACATCGGGAAGAAGCAGTGAGGCCCGTCTTCCCAGACAGGAGGAAAAAGGCTTAACTGTCAGGAATATCACAGAACTACTAAAAGGACGTGAAATCACTGGTAGGTTTCGTGAACCTGTCAGCTTCTATTCATTCATTCATTCATTCATATTTCTTCAGTGCCTTGTGTCAGGTCCTGCTCTGGGCTCTGAAGACACAGAGATGGACAAGACAGACCAGTGCCTGCCCTCAGGACGCGTTCGTTGCAGTAGGGAAACAGTAACCAAGGAGCAATGTGATTTCAGGTAGCGATAAGGGCTGTGAAGGAAACAAAGCAGAATCGGTTAGGGGTGATGGAGAGGGATGTTTTAGATAGGTGGTTGGGGAACTGTCTCCGAGGAGGTGATATTTCGTGACACTAAAAAAAAAAAATTGTGAATATTTTCATCAAAGTTGAAACCAAAAAAGTGAGTTTCCTTTCAGCATGGGAGCTGCCATCGTCGTGTCCAAGAATCTCAACTCGCCTAACAGCACCTGCCCTCACATAACTTGCTTGTCTTTCCCCACCTCTGTGCCTTTGCACTTGCTGTTCCCTTTGCCAGCAAGCCCTGTTCCACCTCTTTTCTGTCCACTAAAATCTGCGTTACCTTAGGCCAGTCATGGTGGCCCATGCCTGTTATCCCAGCACTTTGGGAGGCCAAAGCTGGAGAATGGATTGAAGCCAGGAGTTCGAGACCAGCCCAGGCAACATAGCGAGACCCCATCTCTACAAAAAAAATAAATTAAAAAATTAGCTGGGGCTGGGCGCGGTAGCTCACGCCTGTAATCCTAGCATTCTGGGAGGCCGAGGCGGGCAGATTGTTTGAGCTCAGGAGTTCGAGACCAGCCTGAGCAAGAGCGAGACCCCATCTCTACTAAAAAAAAAAAGAAATTATCTGGACAACTAAAAATATATAGAAAAAATTAGCCGGGTATGGTGGCACATGCCTGTAGTCCCAGCTACTCGGGAGACTGAGGCAGTAGGATTGCTCAAGCCCAGGAGTTTGAGGTTGCTGTGAGCTAGGCTGATGCCATGGCACTCTAGCCTGGGCAACAGAGTGAGACTCTGTCTCAAAAAATAAATTAATTAATTTAATTAAATTTAAAAAAAATTAGCTGGGTGTGGTGGCTGAGGCAGGAGGATCGCTTGAGCCCAGGAGTTCAAGGCTGTAGGGAGCTACGGTTGTGCCACTGCACTCCAGCCTGAGTGATAGAGCAAGACCCTGTGTCTAAATAAAAATAAAAATAAAAAAGAACACCCAAGCCCACAGAGTAATGACATATGTCATCACATGTCATGTGGCCTCTAGAAAACACTGTATTTGTGAGAGAAAGAGTGAAAAAAGTAAATAACATCTTAGTACTGTTAGGAAAATAGTCAAAACTCAGTCAGCCTTGGGTTTGAATCCAGGCTCTGCTTCTAGCCATGTGATATGAGCCAATTACTTAACCTCCCTGGGACTCGTTTCTTCACCTGTAAAATGGGAATAAAAACTGGTGCACTTGTAGTCCCAGCTACTCAGGAGGATGAGGCAGAGAGGACCGCTTGAGCTCAGGAGTTTGAGTCCAACCTGGGCAACACAGAGAGACCCTGTCTCCAAAAACCAAAACAAAACAAACAAAACTGTATGTGTGTCAGAGCTGCTGTGAGCATTGAGCGGTAAATGAGATAACACTTGTAAACTGCTTAGCCCTGCTCCTAGCACGTAAATGCTGGGTAAGGGTAGTGGATAGACATGGCTCATTTGTGCAGGATGGTGTGATGTGCAGCAGCGTGTTGGACCACGCATCGGGAGACCTACTGTTGGAGGGGTGGCTCTTCCACTAGCTTTTCGTGTGACCTTGGGGGAGATACATGCCCTTTCTGGATTTAATCTACTCCACCTGGGCGCTGGAGGTGCCTCAGGAGCATCACAGAAGAGAAGGGTGGGTCCGAGCAGCTGAGCCCGCATTCTCCTCTGCTCTGGCGTAGTACGCTGAGGTCCTGTGTACACAGGCCACTTTGTCAATGAAGCACCACCGGCACTGTGCCCATGGCCTCTCAGCTGCCAAAGGCCTACACACATATTTGGGAGCTGAAAAAAAAAATCAGCTCCAAAATACGAAAATTAAATAGAATTAAAATGTTTAAGTAAATGTCTACATATGTTACATCATGTCAGGTAGTCAACTGCATGCATATTCAACATACATATAGCTATATATATATATATAAACTGTATTAAATGTAGGAGTTGGGGTATTGTAATAATTTGAAATTATATGTGGTGTCTGTAGAAAAATCTGCATAAAGTTTACAAAGGTCTTTAAAACACTGTAAGATTTCACTTGAAAAATAATGTTCTGAGGCCGGGCGCAGTGGCTCACGCCTGTAATCCTAGCTCTCTGGGAGGCCGAGGCGGGCGGATTGTTTGAGCTCAGGAGTTCGAAACCAACCTGAGCAAGAGCGAGACCCCGTCTCTACTAAAAATAGAAAGAAATTAATTGGACAACTAAAAATATATAGAAAAAACTAGCCGGGCATGGTGGCACATGCCTGTAGTCCCAGCTACTCGGGAGGCTGAGGCAGAAGGATCACTTGAGCCCAGGAGTTTGAGGTTGCTATGAGCTAGGATGACGCCATGGCACTCTAGTCCAGGCAACACAGTGAGACTCTGTCTCAAAAAAAAAAAAAATAATAATGTTCTGCTTCTAAAAATAATTTAAAGTTTGAAAACCACTAAATCAACCAAATAGTATTGAACTACACGATCCGTAAAGCCCCTTCCAGAGCTTGCAGATCATGAGAGTTTGCACCGAAATGTGGTCAGAGAGGTTATTTGCTTTTTACAAGTTGTAAGACCCTGAGGATGGGTGTGGGGCAGGGGATGACATCAGGATTCAGAAACCCAAGAAACTCTCTTATATGCCTGTGTGGCCACGCTGCTGGGAGGAGGTAGAGCCAGGCAGATATGATCTGAATGTCACCTCTGCCTCTTAGCCACAGAGTGACTTCGAGTGAGTGGCTTAGCTCTGTGAGCTCCATTTTCCCTATCTGTGAAATAGAATGAATAAACCTCCACAGGGCACTGTCAGGGCCTTTGTAGGCATTCATCTCAAAATGTGCCTGGCAGATTCCCCAGGGGATGGCCTGTCCTCCTCACCTAAGGTCACAACAGGCCACGCTCCACAATCCCCCAGGGGCAATGATGGCACTAACTCCCCATCCATTCCTGAGGGGCCAAAGCGGTAAGAAGGCTGAGGCTTGGATGGGAAAGGAAAGCAAGACTAAGGTGCAGTGGGGCAAGGTGGTCCCACTACCAGGCAAAGGGACTCCAGAAAGGAAACAGCTGTGGCAGTCAGGCCCAGTCTGGGGGAGGGTCCTAGGGGCTGGTCAAATATGCAGCCTGCTATGGGTGGGGCTGGAACTGCAGGGGCCTGCTGTGCCTCTGGTCTCAGAGAGCAGGTCAGGATTGTCACAGGGGTTTAGGTGGAGTTCCGGCTGGGGTGGGCAGCTGGGCGCTAAGAGCCAGGAAGAGATGGAAAATGGGCTCTATGCCTGGTTATGAGAATCACAATCTGTTTTCTGGCCCGAGGACAGACCCTCTATGTTTAGGAAGCGGGATCTCCACAAAGTTGAGAGCTTTCTCACACCTCCCACGCTGGGCCCCCTCTGTTTGTGAAGGATTCAAAGCATGGGACATGAACTTGGGAAGATATGGGCAAATCATGCCTTCTGAGCCTCAATCTGTAAGATTCCAGTGACAAACACTGAATATAAAACACTTCCAGCCGGGCACAGCCATGTGTGGCATGGGACAACATAGTCAGACCCTGTCTCTAACCAAAAACAAAGCACTTCCCAGATAAGGCCCCAGGCGTCACTGGCTGATCACGGTTATGACCAGCATCTCCTGCTGCCCAGCACTGTCCACACACACATTTTAAGGACAAGTCTTTTACCACATAAAGGTTTTTATTGAATTCAAACTCAGGGGCTCCAAAGCCTAAGGAAGACACAGGAGGCTGGGGTGTGCACCCAGAGGCCCAGGCCCACCCCGGGGCCCCACTCCCCACCCCACCTACCCCTTTGCCTGCTCCTGACTCAAATGAGGGTCTCAGCAGCTACCGGTCTAAGCTACCCACTCTAATTAAGTAACCCTCACCCGCCCTCCCCCCACCCACTCTAGCACTCCGCCAAGTCAGGCACCCACCAAGGAGCATGCTGCTTGAGGCCAGCTCTCTACTGACCTCTCTCTGGATCTCTCCCAGAGCCTCTGCTGCCTGTCTGGCTTCCCTCCAACCCCACTGCATAGCGCATTTCCCGTAAGTCTCCAGGGCATGTCACTTCCTCCACCCTGGCCCTCTTTTCCCAGAATCCTCTATGCTTCCATTCTCCTCCAGCTCTTCCACTATCCTCTCTAAAGTTTTCCCTAGCTCCCTGTCCCCTTCTCTTTTGCCCGCACCTCCCAGTCCTGCTGTGGCCCCAGGTCAGCGCCGGCCAGCCGCGTGGGTCCGCTGGTGGCGGATGAGGTCGGAGCTCTGTGAGAAGGCCTTTCCACAGTCATCGCACTTGTAGGGCCGCTCACCGCTGTGGACCCGGTGATGCTGCAGCAGCGTGGAAGAGCGGCAGAAGCCCTTGCCGCACACGGCACACCTGTAGGGCCGCTCGCCCGTGTGGGAGCGCTGGTGCTGAATCAGCGTGGAGGAGCGATTGAAGGTCTTGCCGCAGTCGGGGCAGCTGTAGGTGCGGCCTGGCAGGTGGGTGCGCGCGTGGATGGCCAGCACAGAGCTCTGGCCAAAACGCTTGCCACACTCAGGGCACTTGAAGGGCTTCTCGCGGGCGTGGCTGCGAGCGTGAGGGATAAGTGCTGACCGCTGGGAGAAGCTCTTGCCGCAGATGCCACAGCTGAAGGGCCTTTGCCCCGTGTGCACCCTCTGATGGCTGCGTAGGGAGGAGTTCTGGCTGTAGCACTTGCCACACTCAGTGCAGCTGTAGGGTCGCTCATGGCTATGGGTGCGCTGGTGCCGCAGGAGGTAGGAGCTGTCCCCGAAGGCCTTGCCACAGTGTGGGCACTTGTAGGGCTTCTGGCCAGAGTGAGTGCGCTGGTGGCGAAGCAGGTAAGAGCTGTCAGCAAAGGCCTTGCCGCAACGGGGACACTTGTAGGGCCGCTCACCCGTGTGAGTGCGCTGGTGTTTGATGAGGTCAGAGCTCTGGGAGAAGGCCTTGCTACAGACCTCACATTTATAGGGCTTCTCACCCGTGTGGATGCGCTGGTGCTGGATCAGGGTGGAGCCTCGCCCGAAGCTCTTCCCACAGATGCCACAGATGTTAGGCCGAGGGCCCTGCCCACCCCTGGCCCGGCCACCCCGTCGGCCTGGACCCCTAAGGGCTCCAGTCAGACTCAGGGGATTCTGAAGCATCTCAAACTGCGGTGTAGCCAGCAGGGCCCCTGTGGGCATCTCAAAAGGTGGCCCTATGGGCAGGCCCTCTGTGGGCTGCTCCCCAAACCCCTGAGTGAAGGAGTCCAGGGGGTGAACTCCTAAGGGGATATTCAAGGGATTCTTTTCCTCAGGATTCAGAAGCATCTCTGCACCTTCCTGGAATTTGGAACTTTGAGCTTCAAATTCAGAGCTTTGGGTTTTGAACTCAGCATTCTGGGATTCAAATCCAGGGTTCTGGCATTCAAACCCTGGGCTCTGGGATTGATACCTGGAGCTTTGAGATTCATATCCAGGGCTCCGGGGTTCATACCCGGGACTCTTGGGTTCATACCCAGGGCTCCGAGGTTCATATCCGGGGCTCTTGGGTTCATAGCCAGGGCTTTGGGGTTCATACCTGGGGCTCTGGGATTCAAACTCAGAGCTCTGAGAATCTGATTCAGGGCTTCTGGGTGCAAACTCAGGGCTTGGGGGCACAAGCCCAGGGCTTCGGGACTCAAACCCCGGACTTTCAGGCTCAAACCTGGGGCTTTGGGGTTCAAACCCTGGGCTTTGTGGCTCAAACCCAGGACTTTGGGGTTCAAGCCCAAATGGTATCTCTTCAACTTCATAGTCCCCAGTGCCTTCTTGCTGGGAAATTTCCTCTTCCTCATTTTCACTCATATTGCCTGCAGGATCAGAGAATTACAGAAACCCAGATTATGGGGGCCTGGAAGGTCATTTGGTCCACTGGCTGCCACAAACCTACCCCCTCTTCAAGCAGGGTCGCTGGCCCTTGGGCAGGTGCTGAAATTCCCACGCCCACCTCGGCCAACCCAGAACACCCAGTCCCTGGCTTCCACCTCCTCCAAGTCCCAGGTGTCCAAGCTCCGGGCCCTTTCCCTCCCACGAACCAAAGTCCCTTCTCCCGCTCCCAGGTACACTCCTCGGAGGGGCAGTCCCTCCTCACCTTTGAGGGACTCTTCGGGGCTCCCCATTTCGTCAGGACTTTGCACATCCTGGGGCTCCAGGACCCACGGCGACGCCTCCCGTTCCATCCCCGCCGGTTCCCAGTGCAACGGCGGCGGCTATGGCAGACGATTCTGCGACCTGGCCTGAGTGCCCTGAGACCCGGGCCCTCGCCACCCTCCCGCTCAGCGCGACCAAGGGGACTCAGCTGCCCAGCCCCGGTCCCTGAGGCCGGACGTCTTGACCCTGGGCCTCTCCGGCCCGCCGGGCCCCTCCCCTACCCGCGGCCCCGCCCCCCTCCCAAGGTCTTGGTTTGCCCTGCGGCCCTCGCCGGCCCCCACCCGTCGTGGCCTCGGAGATGAGGGGCTTCACGACTCTCCCTGCCGTCCCTGGACACCGCTCCTTGCCCGAGACCCCACCGTGTGGACCCCCAACCCCAGGCTGGGATGCGGCGTCCAATCCCCCTCCCCCCGCACAGGAAGTGTCCGTCCGCGGCCAGTTCCCCCCGCTGGCTAGCGCCGCGGCCTCTCTAGGAGCCGCTGGAGGTGGAAACTCGTTGGCATTAACCCTGGGCTGGATGGCCCCAGCGTTGGGGTAGGAGAGGACCGGGTGCCCCAGAGCCGCGGGAGGGGCTGGGTAGTTTATGTGCCTATGTCCTAGGTCTCCATCAGTCCAGGGCCTGTCTGTCCGTCTCCCGGGCCCTGCGTCCGTCAGTGTGTGTGTGGCCAAGGGCGAGGCGACAAGCGAGACCAAGGTCAGCGAGAAGGAGCGACGCTTCCCGGCGCCAGCGGGGGCGGTGTCTAGCTCCTCTCCCCTCCCGCGCCTCCGGGTCAGCTCCGACCGCGCCTCGGGAACCTGGACGGACTACCCCTTGACCTCATCAAGGTTCTTGAGCCTGGGACCCCCTCCTCGAACTCCACTCCCCTACACCGGCGCACCCACCCCCACTCTTCCTGGCCCCCTCCCTTCTTTGCTTGCCCTAATCCACCCCTCCCCCATCGGGGAGGGCTAGGATCGTTGCCAAGGAGACAGCCCCGCCTCCGGTTTCCAAAGGCACCGCCCCAACTTCCCAGGGAGCTCAGTGATTGGCCGATGGAGCTCGTGCTCCCGTCGCCCCGCCTCCTCCAACTCCACGGACTGTTAGGCGTTAATGGTCGCCAGGGAACGCGAGGCACCTTTCTGATTGGCTGGAGGCGCTCAGGCCGGTTCCACTTCCACTGTCAGCCAGAGCGCCTGCGGGAATGAGTGGGAGGGAGGTGCCTGGCGTCTCCCCTCAAGCCCGGACTGTGCTTTTAAAACTTTTTCCGCCCCCATCTACCCTCCATTGTGTTTTATCTTTCTGAAGAATGAAAGCCAAGAGATCCGAGGACCGACACCCCTCCTCCCCCGGTCTCCCCTACACCCCTTCCTCGCACTTTCCTTCTTCCCACAGGTCCAGGTGCTGAAGGGGCCAGTCTGGGGAGCCTGCGGAGAGGAGGCCTCTTTCTTTTCTGTTACCCTGCCTCTCCCCTCCACCTTCCCCAAAGCCTGAATTTAACTCAACCCCTGGGAGCCCTAGTCCGTGGTTCCTGGATTTTCTTACAGGGAGGCTGGATTCCTTCCAGGTGATTCAGAGTAGTTCAGGAGGGGAACTGGACAGAGAGAGAACCAGCTAGCCTCTAAGGCACCTAAGAACTCTTCAGTCCTGTCTGACTTGAATGGAGGCTTGTAGAGGAAGGGAACCTGAGAAACACTGCCCCAGGTGCAGCTTTGAATTGAGAAAGTGACCCTGGAAAGACAACTTAATATCATCCAATTCTCCTCCTTTTTCTACCCTTCATGCTGAAACAAGTTTGGCAGCGTTCTTGACAGTTAATGAGCCAAATTCTCCCGTGAGTGATGCGGCAGCCATGGATTGTGTGTTTTCTTGTCCATCCAGACAAACTAAGGGAAGATACTGGGTGGGAGGAAAAATGGCATCTTCTATTCTCAAGAGATGAGAACAAGAATCTGTGGAATGCCAGGTGGTAAAAGGCTGAAGAAAATCTCAATAAAGGCTTACAAATAGGATCACAGAGGTCATCCCAGTAATGAAATGGGGTACCTTTTTGTCCTCCAAAGGAACAGCTTCCAGCTCCATGCCTCTCTCCCATCTCAATGTCTATTTGTTCTAAAACCTTTGCCAAGAATGGCTCACACAGTCCAGCAGCAGAGAGCCCACGCTGGCAGAACACCTTACAAGTGCAGCACTGATCGTGAGAAGAGCTGGACATGGGGTGCTCCCTGGTCACGCCTATAGCACTCACACAGGTGAGAAACAAAAGTTCCTCTGAAGACACTTTTCTCTGACCTCCAACTGGCTTATCCGCCACAAAATCCATGCAGGAGAGGAGCCACACGCTACAAAATGTGTGGTGAGGCCTCCAGCCACAGCCCTGACAAGGTCCACTGCTTGTACTCTTCTTACCATGAGCCACAAGTCCCAATTGTGGCAGAAGTTGGGCCAGGACTTCAAGCTGCTGCGGCACCAGCATTTGCATGTGGAAATTCAGCCTCACCAGTTCCTAGGGTAAAAGAGTAGCTAATTTCCAGCCAGCCTCTGCCATCCACACTCCCCCAGCAGTGAGAGGCTTTAAGCTCATGATAGCTTCTGATAAGGGGTGCAAGTTGACCCAGCACCAACTAATCCAAGGCAGAAGAAACTTGGGAGTCTGTTGGCCTTGTTCTATCACTGCATCCATGGTGAGGAGGAGCCCCATACATGTCCTGAGTTGGGCGGCACAGCATCATCCCCTGGTGTACGGCAGCACAGAGCCATTTGGTGTGCAGCCAAGGCTTATGGTCCAACCAACATGGCCAAAACTTCAGGGCTCAGGCTAGAGAGAGCACTCACAAAGGTTCTTGGTGTGACAGGGACTTCTGCATGCACTGCTCCCTTCCTGCATGCAAAGGACAAGCCCTCTAAAAGGCCTTCATTTGGATGCCAGAAGAGATACCCCAGTATATTCAACATGATTCCAGCTACCCAAGAGGAGACCAACCACAGCACAGGCCCTTTGGGAAGAACAAAGGAAATGGAAATCTTTGTGTGTGAGTAGGTCAACCCCTGGCCTGACATTTGGGACAGGCCCTGGGACCAACCAGTACTCTTGCAAAACTAAGAGCAATTAGAAAATACCATTTTGTTCAGAGTTCAGGTTCTCTCAAACTTTTGCAGGCCTAAAATTCCATCCCTGGAGATTCTGATTCAATAGGCAAGGAGCAGGCCCAGGGAGACAGCTACACATTTTTCAAAGATACCCCATGTGATTCTGTGGCAGAGAGCCTTACTTTGGAAATAATGACCTAGAGTAGGTTTCACCTTCTTTGGGTCATAAACCTCTTTGCATGGCCTATTCCTAGAAAGACACACATACATAAACATTCCAGGGAATTTTAGGAGTCTATGGAGCTCAGATTAATACCTACCTTCATTTTATTTATTTCATTTATTTTTATTTATTTATTTACTTATTTTAAGACAGAGTCTTGCTCGTCTCCCTGGGTAGAGTGCAGTGCTGTCATCATAGCTCACTGCAACCTCAAACTCCTTGGTTCAAGTGATCCTCCTCTCTCATTCTCCTGAGTAGCTGGGACTACAGACATGTACCACCACGCCTGGCTAATTTTTCCATATTTAGTAGAGATGGGGTCTCACTTTTGCTCAGGCTGGTCTCGAACTCCTGACCTCAAGCAATCCTGCGGACTCAGCCTCCCAGAGTGCTAGGATTATAGGTGTGAGCCACCGCGCCTGCACTCTACCTTCATTATTAAATGCCCTGGACAAACTAGGGGTGGGCCATATGGCCATGGCCTTCGCTTCTCACTCTGGCTGGTCATTAGCGTGGGGCTTATTCTGTCCAGTGCAGAAAAACATTTCCCCCAATGCACCAATGCAGCCCTGGGAAAACCCTCTTCCAGGCTTAAACTGCTTCTGCAGCTGAGCCTCAAAGACCTGTGGTAGCAGAGATAAAAGGGAGCCCGGCCTTTGATAAAAGTATCCATGCCAAGAAACGAGGAGCTCAGAATGAAGGGGCTGAGGCTTAGGGGTTTCAGGACACTAAAAAATTGACAAAATGGTGGGAAGCTGGGTCATGGGGGCAGGAAACAGAGGAGCTGGGTCTGGTTTCTGGGCCCTAAGCTTCAAAGTACTCAGAGATCTCTAAGTAGTAATTATGGCACCTTTAATCAGCAAGCTGAAGACAGGTCCAGATCTGGCTTTGAGTCTGGGCTGAGAACTGGTGTTGACAACCGAGCTCTCCCCAGGCAGCGCCGAGGGCTAGGGGAGGGGATGAGGTTGTATGCTGGGAATTAAAAGCTGGCACAAAGGTTGCTCCTACTGCCACGGTGCCTCTTCTCACCCCAAATGCCCCTTGTGACAAGGTGGCACACAAGTCTGGCACACCCAGAAAAGCTTAGGGTGAGGGAGGACTTGGTGGCAGGAAATTTGAAAATGAGGTTGAAATCAAGTGAGTTCATTACTTCGCCTGAACAGTGCCTTTTCTCTAAATTTTCTACCTTTCTTAGAAGTTTCTCCAGGTTGCTAAGTCTGGTTTCTTCCTCCCTAGGTAGGCCAGACACAGAGCCGAGACGGGCGAATAAGGCAAGGGCACAAAGGCCAGCAGAAGACATAGGCCCTTGCTACTTACTCCTCTCTGAGGTGAAGTGTTGCCCTGTCCAGAGGCAGGACAGGCTCTGCCCATGGCTGGCAGCTTCCATTACGAGGACAAGGTAGGTCTCTGACCACAAAGGAATTAGTGGTAGATGGGTAATGGAGTCACAGGTGACAGGTGAGGGATTCTGTATAGAGTTTGAGAATACAGATGGGCACAGTCCCCTTTGGCTATAAATCTAACCCCAAATGTTCCTGGCCTAGTCCCCTTCTGTTCATGATGGTGGATACCCAAAGACAGCAAAGATACAAGCTTTGCTCGTTTGCCTTGGGACTCTCATCTCTGGCTGGTTTCTCTATTGCCTTGGTCTTTCACGTGTCTGTTTTGTCAAACTCATCTGGTACCTGGGCTTTGCTGACACTTGACTAGTCTGTCCCAATCTAGCTCAGTGCATGGGTATTACTACAGGGAGTGGGCAGATGCCCCCAGAACCTGGCTCACCACTGGCAAGGAACTCAGGAGTGATGTGGTAGAGACAGCAGTAAGCTAAGAAGCCTGGAGTCTCACTAGGTGTATGATCTTGGACAGATTGCTCGACCTTCCCTGGTCTCAGTGTCCCCAACTACAAAAGATTGGGAAAGCTAAGATCTCCTCCACTTCAAAAATGTGATGAGACCCTCCTCGCTGGTTCTAGGGTGTCTAAGAAGACCTCAGGGTGCCCAAGGAGGACTGCAGAGAATGCTGGGGTCTTCCCCTTCAAAAATTGCCAGTCAGCCGAGAGTGGGACTGTGGCACAGCAGACATATCACTTGGTTTGGGATGAAAGATTCAATCCTGACTGACTCTTCAGCAAGTTGCTTCCTTCCCCAGGCACTTACGAGGGTGAAATGCACTGATAGAGGAGATAGTGCTCTGTAAACCATAAAATGTGATACAAGCCAAGATCTAAAATAAAGGCTGCTTTTACTTTTCTCCTGCTGCCATGTCACATATGTGCTTTCTACCTGCCATCCTTTCTCTCCGAGCCCAGAAACCCTCAATGCTGTAGGCCACAGTTTGCAAATTCAAATGACCACAGGAGCCCAGCAGGTCGGACAGATGAGTGGGAAATGCCAGGTGGAGACAGCCTGCTTTGGCAGATATGTGGGTTCAAAAAATACTTCACGTTCTTCTTTGCTCTACTTTAAGAAAAACACCAAAAACACTAAAAGCGAGCCATGATGACTGGCGCCGATGCTTGGTTTGAGCCGCCAAGGAGTGGCAGGACCGCATGGGCAGCTGCTGCCCGGCTCCCATCAACTGTGGTTTTGTGGGAGCTTGGGTTGAGTTGCCAAATCTTTGGATTTTTCAAGAGAAGCCAGAAACTGGGATTTTTGTGTAAAATATCCCGACTTTTAAATCTTGACTACAAATTCATTACACTTAAAAACACTGCCTGGGCCAAAATAAATACATAAATACATTCAGTACATGGCCATCGGTTTTTAACTTGTGCAATAAAAACACAATGGGTAAAATGAGGTTCTCCCTTTAACACTTCTGAGCTAAGAAACAGCCTTTGCTTCCCCATATGGAGGATTAGTGGGGGTTCTTACCTCAACCCTGCCTCAGCAAAGGGAACCTCTGGTCTGGGGCAGGAGGGAGCAAGGTGTCAGCAGATGAAGCTGGTGAGGGCCTACGATGCAACTGTGCTCATGCCCCAGGCCCAGCTCTTGCCAAGAATCCTTAGCCCTCCCTGCAGGCTGCCAGAGGCTCAGGCCCCTGAGCCCATCTTCGGCCTCAGGCAATGTCTAGAGCTTTACCCTTTCCCTTGTCACTTTTGAGGCCACCTCCCACACTCCTGGAATATCTCTGGGTAGAGCTGGAAGCCCACAGGTGGGTCCAGGTCCCCTCGGCCAGGAGCTAGGGGCACAGACAGCCCACTAGCACCCCGGCCCCTGCGCCCCCTGGCCCCTGGCCGATGGACCCACTGGTGCTTGGCCATGGCTGATTTCTGGCCAAAGCACCTGCCACACTGAGGACATGGGTAGGGGCGCTCGCCACTGTGAGTGCGCCTGTGGGCTGCCATCTCCGAGCTCTGGCGGAAGCAGCGCCCGCAGTCTGGGCATGGGTAGGGCTTCTCGCCCGTGTGGGTGCGCACGTGGCGCCGAAGGTCTGAAGCATGGGCGAAGGCGCGGCCACAGTCCGGGCAGGGGAAGGGAGTCTCGCCACTGTGCACCCGCTGGTGCTGGTAGAGGGCAGAGCTCTGGCTGAAGCAGCGGCCACAGTCAGCACAGCGGTAGGGCTTCTCGCCAGTGTGGACCCGCAGGTGGGTGGTGAGGGCAGAGCGCTGGGTGAAGGCCCGGCCACAGTCAGGGCAGCGGTGGGGCCGCTCCCCTCGGTGGGTGGCCCGGTGCTTGCTGAGGGAGGAAGCCTGGCTGAAGCCCTTGCCGCAGTCAGGGCAGCGGAAGGGCTTCTCGCCTGTGTGGCTGTAGAGGTGCTCCACCAGCGTGGAGCGCCAGGCAAAGCTCTTCCCGCACATGTAGCAGCCATGGCGCTTGTCTGCTCGTGGGACAGGGGGGTGGGCACAGAGCGGGGGACGACCCCGGCGAGACACCTTGGACGCCTGCTCCAAACCATAAGGGAACCCAGCAGAGGGGAGCTGGGGAGCCTTCAGCCCAAGAGGCCGGGCAGCCACCGGAAGGGTCTTCTCCAGTGCTTCAGTCCCTTCCCTTGGTCTTTTCTCTTCCTTGTTTCTGGAATCTGCTGGGAGATAAGGGGAGAGCTCAGACTCTGGCTCGTCCTGGTCCTTCAATCCCACACCCCACATGGTGACAAACAAGTCTCTTAGATACAGCCGCCTTCTGGACCCATGGCTGCCCCTGGGACTCAGTGCAGCAGGGAAGCTGGGAGTGACACTTTTTCCTCAGCTGCAGAGACAGAAAGAGGAGGGGAAGGAAGGAACAGTATATGCTTCTCAGAGCTGGGGCAATGTCCCTAGGAGGGAAGGGAGAGATAACAACATCCGAGCTGGATCATGAAGGATGAGTGGACACTTGAGGATGCTCCAGCAGGAATGGAGCAAAGAAAGGCATGAAAGTGGCCAGCACTGGTGAGTTCAGCGGGGCTGGGCACTCTGCAAAGGTTGACAAGAGGAACTGAAAGTAGAAAACAGGGAAAGCCAGGTGGCCAGAGGTGCCAGCTGTAGGAAAACACAGGGAGGTGATGTAGAGATACAGTCCACAGAGTTTAGATGTGAGGAGCCAGAGGCCGAGAGCTGGGCGTGGAGAGGCAGGTGTGGCAGGACCACGTCACAATCACAGCCGCTTTCTAGGCTGCATCAGGGGCCAGGCATAACGGCCTGGCCTAGCTGGGAAGGCAACGCAGGGAAGCTGCTAAGCTACTAACTGGACTTGGCAGAGGACACCGGGATGGGCCAGGCATGGAGAAATCCCCATGGGACTGAGGATCCGATACTTCACCTGGGTCCGCTTCTGTCGTACACTTCGCCACCTCCGGATCCTGGGCATCCAGACCCCACAGTTCAGCCTCTTCCTCCACCCAGGAGATGAGCGCCGGCTTGGTGCCTCCGACTCCTGGGGAAGAAGAAGGCAAAGCTCACACTGCGGGAAGGCCGCCCATACAGGGGAGCCCAGGGCCTCCCACTCCACGTGCAGGACCCAGACGGGGCAGGGCACACGGGGATGTGGCCCAGGCGTGCAGGTCGGGCCTCACCGAGCGCGCCCAGGTGGCCGTAGGTCTCCCGCATCACGTCCCGATACAGGGCCCTCTGCGCTGGCCGCAGACACCCCCACTCCTCCGGAGAGAAGTACACGGCCACGTCCGCGAATCTCACGGCCCAGGGCTTCCTCCACTCGGACCCGGCCCCGTTTGGTTCTAAGGCGGGGAGCGGGGCTAGAGGCGGCGCCATGGGAACTGCCAGCCCCGGCGGCGGGCCAGCCACCTCCCCTTGCCGAGCCTGGGTTTGTGGAGCCTCCGGCGCTCAAGAACACCCAGCAGCCTGGGCCCAGGGGTCGGAGGGCTGTCATCAGGGCCGCGCGAGAGCAGGCACCGGCCTCTCACGGGCCACTAGAGTGGATGAAAACCAAAAGCGGGTGGCTGCGAGGGCATAATCAGGACTGGAAGATGCTGTCATAAAAAATGGCGGCAACGCGGCCTCTCGAACTTTGCTCCCACGCAGTCGTGCCCCACGGTGACGCCCCGCCCGCCCCCCCCCCGGTATCTACGGGTCGCTTTGTCTTCGTGCCATCACCCAAGATGGCCGCCGCGGCTACAAGCGCCAGTCCTGAAAACCCGCCGAGCAGCTCCAGACCGGGCAGGCAGCCGCGAGACTCCGCCCGGGTTTACAGGAATAAAGGAGCGCCCCGCGGGAGGTGGCCAGCCGCTCGGCTACGGGGAATTCGGACGTTAGTTTTTGTCTCTGGACCGTTAATAATCGGGCTCGAGCCCATCATTACCGGACGACCATCACTCTCTCGTTCTGTCCTCCTTATCTCACAATCTGGGTGACCAGGCTGGGTACGGTGGCTCACGCCTGTAATCCCAGCACTCTGGGAGGCAGAGGCGGGAGGATCGCTTGAGGTCAGGAGTTTGAGACCAGCCTGAGCAAGAGTGAGACACACACACTGCCATTCCATCTTTACTAAAAATAGAAAAAATTAGCCAGGCATGATGGTACATGCCTGTAGTCCCAGCTACTCGGGAGGCTGAGGCAGGAGGATCCCCTGAGCCCAGGAGTCTGTGGTTGCTGTGAGCAAGCTGACACCACAGCACTCTAGCCTGGGCAACAGAGCGAGACTCTGTCTCAAAACAACAACAACAACAAAAAAAAACACAACTGGTGACAGCAGCCTTTCCTAACGTTGAGGGTAAAGAAAAAAATGGAAAGTTTACAAGAGAATCTTCTCTATTATAAGCTGGTTAGAGGCTGAAATTCTGGATGTTCCTAGGTCGTGGAGGCACCGGGAGAGAGCAGGGTAAGGTGTGCGGAAGGTCACAAGGCTCCTCTTTCCTACAAGCTTACTTGTTCCCCACATGCTATGCAGGATGCCTCCCCAAGATCTAGGTACTACCTCTTGCTGTAGTCTGGCTCTCCAGCTCCCCATCACAGACCCACCCACCTCCCTGCCCCTGCAGGGATGTCCCACAAGAACCTCGGACTCTGCATGGCTCAAACTGAACTGCTCCCCCTGGTCTTTACCTCAGTAAATGTCACCACCTCTTCCCACAAACCTTCTTCTAACATTTATTGACTGCCTACTGTGCTCCCACATGCCTTCATAAACACTGTGCCCTAGGAAGACCTGATATTTTTCTTCTGGCTGGCTAAATCAATCACAGCATTTCACACACTTTGTGGAAAGGACTTCACCTTTGGGGTAGGTCTCGTGTCTGGCCTGGAGCTCGTCTGCCTGCCTCCTTTCAAAGGCCTCCCTTAGGCTTCAGCCTGACACCTTGCAGCTGGTGGATGCTTCTCCCCACTGCCAGGGGAGCTGTGCAAGTAGCAAGAGCTGATCACAGCAGAAAGCAGGGAGGGGCAGGGAGAGAAGACAAAAAGCTTGGAAGGGGTCAGCCTGGCCAAGGAGAAAGGTTTGTTGGAAGGCAGGTCAGAAAGGCTGAGGATGCAGAGTTGCCCAGGGGGGTTTCGACCCAGCCCTAGCCCTCTCAGGCCCCTGAAGGACACAAGACAAAAGTGAAAACTGCCCTTAAGAGCAATGGCATTCTGTCATTTGTCAGCACCCACCCCTCAGCACCCCCAGGCCTAGGTAGAGTTCTGGGTAGTGTTGGAAGCTCTCTAGGGGTCTGGACCCTCCTAGGGAAGAACCAGGGACAGAATTCGCATCCCTCGGGCTCAGCCCCTGATGCCCACAACACCAGGTCAGTGGCCCCAACTGGCACCTCAGGCTGAAGCACTGCCCATGGTGGAAAAGGTGGAGAGTACCTGCCCCTTTGGGTCAGCAGGTAGCATTAGAGGCATTCACTGTGGGAGAAGCAGGCACTGCACTAGCTGTCCACAAAGGGTCACTCACTCCCTGGAAGACACTGAGCTAGGCTGAAGGTATTGGTGAAGGCTGAACATGCTTGGCACAGGAATGAGGGTGCCAGGAGAGTGCCAGGTGTTGAGGCCACGTGCAGACTGAGGGCTTAGGGGAGGCCTGGTTACAGGGAGCCTTGGCCAGAGGCTCAGGAAATAGGTCAGTGTCTCTGACGCCAGGGCTCATGACAACTCCCAAATAGATTATCTCTGCTGGCTCCTTCCAAATGTATCATTTTTCGGAATGGCCATTGGGAAGCAGCATATTCAAAACTTACCTCTGGCCCTGTCAACTCCCCAAGGCTTACTCATATGCAGGTGATAGATTCAACCTTCACAACAGCAGAAGTATTCAGATGGGTACCTAGGCCCTAGAACCCACCCCCCACCCCCGGACTGTGCTGGCCAATTGAGGGGCTCACCAGGCAGGGAGATTCCCACACACTTCAAGGCTAACCAGAGGAGCAGCTGTTATCAGGCCTAGGGACCTGCAGAGGTGAACTGCCTCCATCCTGAACTTTTTCAGGAGAGAGAGAGTCTCACTCTTGCTCAGGCTGGTCTCAAACTGAGCTCAAGCGATCCTCCCTCCTCAGCCAGCCTCCCAGAGTGCTAGAATTACAGGCGTGAGCCACCATGCCTGGCCCATCCTGAACTTGAATTCACACACTGCCACTGAATTGGATGATTCATACAATGTGGCCTGATCATGGTACCCCTGGATGTCTCAAATCCAATTAAGTAAGAAAGAGAAGGTCAATCCCAGCCTCCAGTGGGTGTCAAAAATTCAGTTTAGCAAAAATTAGTGTCAACGGCAACAAGGAACATGTGGATAGCGTTTCTTGCTCAACAAAACATTTTCCCTTCTAGCTGGAACTGGGACATCACCCCCATTTCTCACTTTTCTGGCTTCCTCCTTCCTGGGGATCCTGAGTGTTTGTAGCCCCCAGCTGGAACTCCTCCACCCAGGAGATGAGGGTTGGTTTGGGGTCTTGGAAGCCTGGGGAAGAACACTGATCACTCAAGAAACATCCTAAGACTACCTATGCATTCATTTGATGAAAATGTACTGGGCACCTCTTTGTGAGCCAGGCATTGTTTTAGATGTTCTGGGTGTTGAAGACATTGGTGAACAAGATAAAAGTTCCTGCACAATAAGTTTATACTAAGCTAGGGGAGAGATATACAGGGTATGAATTCAGCTGGCCCGAGTTTGGAGAAGACCTTTTGGGCAGATCGTACTGGGGGCTATACAGATTAGCATAGAGCCACACTTGTGAGGAGGCGCCTAGCATGGGACAGAAAGGCTTCTGGTGGAATTTCTTGGAGATAGCATTTGAGGGCATTGAAGGTTGGGTTAGATTTGGAGGTGTAGGTAGCCTATATAGAGCACAATAGCAAAAGTAAAGGCTCAAAGGCTAGTTAAGCTAGAGACAGTCTGGAAAACAAAGATTCCATTTAGCTGGAGCTAAATGAGATCGCTTGCCTGGAGGGAAAGATTGGGTTTGAATTTGAGGTTACTGAGCCTTGAGGACCGTTGTGGCACATAGCCTCCGAACTTTTTGCAAGAGGCCCTTGGGGAGCCACTGGAGGAGGAAGCAGGGAAGGCTGTTACAAATTTCAGTGAGGCTGATGTGGCAGGATGACAGGAAATGGAGACCCGGGGCAGGAGTGGGGCGATTCAGGCATCCACTCCACCCACCCCCCTTCCCTTTTCAGAGATCCGACCCGGTTGGGCCTCACCGAGAGCGCCCTGAGGCCCTAGGTTTCCCGAGTCACGCCCCGGTACAGGACGTGTACAGCCCTGAGCCGCAGACACTCCCACTGCTCCAGGGAGAAGTGCACAGCCACGTCCGCGAAGCTGTCAGCCCTCGGGCTCTTTCCCCTTCTGGGTCCCGCCAGCTTTCCCAGGTACAAGCACAGGAAGCCCGGAGGAGGGAGGCAGAGGATTCGGTCTGTGGATGGGGTGGAGGGGATTCTCGGGGCCCCGAGACAGGAAGTAGCTTTGGGTGGCTCCGCTCTAGGACAGCGAGAAACAACCAGTTATGCGAACTCGGTGGTTCCGGGGGCCAAGAAAATAGCGCCCTCGGAAAAAAGGGCAACACTCTAGCCTCTTCTCGTGCTAGAAAAATACTTTTAACAGCTTGAATGTCGACCTGGTGTTGGTGACCTTGTTCGTTCCCCTTCGAGTTGTCCCTTGCTGTTCCTCTTAAGCGGCCTTGGCAGCGCCCTGCCCATAGTTAAGATGGCCGTGGCCGCGTCGGCGTCCGAGCTCAGGCCGAGCGGGGCAGGGCGAGGCTCAGGCGTCTGAACGCGGGCGGCTGTGAGGGCTCTAGGAGAGAGTGACAGAGCCGGGATTCCGGGGGCCGCCGGCCTGATGTCTGCCTCCCAATCGCGCGAGAAGGCTCACTCAGTGACTGAATCTTTAAAAATATATAATTCTGGCAAACTCGTTCATTTATCAAAACGATTTTTTTTTCATTTACAAGGTACGGAAGAATATTTAGTGACGTCTCCTCCCACCCTATTCCTCTATTAACAGTTTCTTAAATATTCTTCCAGAGATAGTCTAGCCATTTATATTTCCACACACTTACTAGCTCTTTAACACAGGACACCGTGCCCTAGATTTCAATTCCTTAGAGTTCGGAGTCATTTTGCAGAAGAGAGAACCGAAGCCCATTCGTTACCCAAGGTCGGACAGCCGGTTAGTGATTCCAGGTCTTCAGAGTCCAAAACGCCAGCCTTTTCCACCGCTTCGCACCGCCCCCTCCAGGCCTGTTCCAGAAAAGCAGTGTGAACACTTCGAATTTGCTGACCCCTGCTGACCACGTCAAAATGAACTGGATTTTTAATTTATTAAGTTATGATTTAAAAATTTAAAAAAAAGTTAGCCAGGCATGGCAGCTCAAGCCTGTAATCTTAGCACTGTGGGAGGCAGAGGTGGGAGGATCGCTTGAGGCCGGGAGTTCGAGACCAGCCTAAGCAAGAGTGAGACCCCCCCCAAACGAAAAGTAGAAAAATTAACCATGCGTTGTGGTGCGCACCTGTAGTCCTAGTTACTTGGGAGACTGAGGCAAGAGAATTGCTTGAACCCAGG